CCGCAGGAAGCCCCGCCCCCGCCGGACGAAGCCCAGCCACCGACCCGTCCCCAAGCTAGTGTAAAGGAGGAAGGGAGGAGTTTCCCTGTCCCTCACTTGCTCCTCACTGCTGAGGCTCTCCGTCCATGACAGGTTACACAGCGGGGGAGGCTTTCCATGCTGTGTAACCAGTTAAATGCCGATCTGAATGGAGAAAAAGCTGTCAGCTACCGACATGAAGCTGACAGCTTTTTCCTCCATAATTCTAGGTGAGGCTCTTCCCCACCTGCCTCCCCTGACCGCACGTCCCTGCTGTGCAGGTAATGATCCTTCTATTCTCATAGCTGAAGGTGTGTATTGTTGTCATTATATATTACCCAGGAAAAAGCTTCTTTACATTTTACATCGTGATTGACGCTGAATTACATCGATGGAGCCATTTTTAAAATTTGTTTTTTATGTAAGGAATAGTCAAAAATTGACTCTTTGTTGTTTTTTTCAATTAAAGGATTTTCTCTAAAAATGTGGTTTGTTTATTTACTTTGAATTTTAATCCTTTAGTGAACCCCTTACTCATTCACAAGGGGGGTGGGGGTGGCATCTGGGTGCCCCCTTAATTAAAGGGGTACCCCGTTGCAAATAAGATCCCATGCCCGCAGACCCCCACAACAACCGGGTCAGGGTTGTGGGGAAGAGGCTCTTGTCCCCATCGGCATGGGGACACCCTCCCAATGCCGAAGGCACGTGGCCTGGTATGGCGCAGGGAGGGGGGGCTGCTCGATCGCCTACCCTCTCCTCCTTTCCTGTGCACGGATCAAGGGACCCCATGGTTCCCTCCCCCCCATTTATTGAGGGTGGGGTGACCCCTCAAAATTCCTACCAGACCTAAAGGGGCTGGTATCTATTTTGGGGGGAACCCTACGCATTTTTTTCTTTAACTTGGTGGGGTCCCTTCTAACATTCCTGCCAGACCTAAAGTGTCTTAGTATCGATTGGTATCGATACTAAGACACTTTTTTTGCTTTTTTTTTCTCTCTTCTGCAGACTGTAAAAAAAAAAAAAAAAAAGTTTTTTTTTTTTTTTTTTTTTTAATTTTTTTTTTCACAAAACAAAAATTTTTTCCTGTGCACGGATCAAGGGACCCCATGGTTCCCTCCCCCCCATTTATTGAGGGTGGGGTGACCCCTCAAAATTCCTACCAGACCTAAAGGGGCTGGTATCTATTTTGGGGGGAACCCTACGCATTTTTTTCTTTAACTTGGTGGGGTCCCTTCTAACATTCCTGCCAGACCTAAAGTGTCTTAGTATCGATTGGTATCGATACTAAGACACTTTTTTTTGTTTTTTTTTCTCTCTTCTGCAGACTGTAAAAAAAAAAAAAAAAAAGTTTTTTTGTTGTTGTTTTTTTTAATGTCACTTTTCCTACAACGAAAATTCGTAGAGACTACCGCCTACCGCTAACGAATTTCATCCGAATCCCGAAACGAATTGACTTTCGGACCCGAATCCCGAAAAATTAAATAACGCAAAACCTGAATGAAAACGAAACGAAATACATTTTTTGCTGGTGCACATGTCTACAATGTTTCAGAGAAATGTTTCTGCTCATTCCGGCCGATCTTTTCACTACAATACATGATAACCGGTCTGTGTGCACCCGGGAACGATGCAATATTGCTGCCTGTCGAGTGTCGGCTCTCGGAATACATTCCGCAACACTGAAACAGGAAAAGCCGGTTTGGAGATCCTAGAAAATCAGTTTTATTGACAAAAGATAAAACACTTTCCATAGCGATAAAGAATCAGCTGACCTTATGCTGCGGCTCCTTCGTGGAAAGGATGAATTCCTCCTCCGGGGTGACAACGCGCCAGACGTGTCTGAATCACAAACAACAAAAGATGACATATTCATAAATTTGTTCACGCTTAAAGGGACCTGCGGTGCGTAGATGTGTCATTGTAACAACCGTAACATTGTATATATATTTATAACATTGTAACAAGTGCTCAGTACGGGAGATGTAACAATTGGGGCTCATTCATTCCACAAAGCACACAAAATAATTCACAGGCTTCTATGCACAGCATTGAGGAGAAGGACAATAGGCACGGCCCCTCAACTCAGTTTTCAAAGCTGAACTCCGGGATGAGCAAATATTCTCCTCATACAAGAGTCATGTGTATTCTTCCTGAACCTTGGTAGATCTGAGCAGTAATCAAGTGTGAGACGTGGAGCTACCTGTAATAAAGACCAGTCTCTGCTGCTCTCTCCTTGTGCAGGGTGACTGGTCTTGTCTCCGCCCCCTCCTGTAATAAAGAACGGTCACTGCTGCTCTCTCTCCTTGTGCACGTGTGTATTGCACCATATGCAACATATGCAAATAAATGGCTCCATGCACACAGCCGCGTATGGAGACGTAGATTTGCGTAGCGTATATATGCGCAAAAACAGAATGGAACAGAGATGCGTCCGGGCAACGTAGCTCGTATATACGCGCATAGACGCAATATACAATTTTGCTTGTGTAGTGTGTGAATGAGGCCTTATGCAGTGGGTCTCCGCCCCCTTCTGTAATAAAGATCAGTCATTGCTGCTCTCTCTTCTTGTGCACGGTGACTGGTCTTGTCTCCGCCCCCTCCTGTAATAAAGACCGATCACTGCTGTTCTCTCTCCTTGTGCACGGTGACTGGTCTTGTCTCCGTCCCTTCCTGTAGTTTTATGCAGTGGGTTGGAGCTTCCGGGTCCATCCCACAACTCTGCTCCCTGCACAGGCTGCTCCCTGCACATATACTGCATGTTCATGTTATGCACTGTGTATGTGTGCTGGGGTGCAATTGACAATGCATAACATGAACATATACACTGAGTGGCCAGATTATTATGACCCCCCCCCCATCAGTACTTCGTTGGGCCGCCTCGTGACTCCACGAGATGATGAAAGGTGATGCGAGGAATCTGACACGGCACTGTGGCCCTTCTGTTGTCTTGTACCAGTCTTGCCCCTCCCCCGTTCTGCCCTAACATTGACTAGTCGCTGACGGCCACAATTCGCACGCTCAGACCCAGATTTTCGGCTGACAGTCCGGTCTTTAAACACTTTAACAATGAGCTGCTCCTGAACATGTAACGAATTCTGCTGTTTTGCTGATACTCGCTCCATGGCTCCGAGCGCCAACAATCATCCCGCGTTCAAAGGCTGTTACATCGCGTTGTTTCCCCGTATCTTCCCAATCACTTCTACTGTCGTGGTAACCAACCCGCTTCCCTATTTATAATGGTCTGGCCCTCTAGCAACTTCAGCGCCAAATTATAGCTCATTTGCCTACAAACGTCAGGTGGTCATAATAATCCGACCACTCAGTGTATATAATAATCCGGCCACTCAGTGTATATAATAATCCGGCCACTCAGTGTATATAATAATCCGGCCACTCGGTGTATATAATAATCCGGCCACTCAGTGTATATAATAATCCGGCCACTCAGTGTATATATAGTGTATTGCTGTGTGCTAGCGTGGCATGCACTGTGCCATATGTTGTGGTGTGAATGAGCCATTTCCTTGCGTAATCCAGTCTACACACAAAGTGTGAAATGATTAGTGACATTGCTACACTGTGTGGCACTCAATGGAACGCTGGGTCTTTCTCCCGCCGCTCTTCCACATTTCTACAACAGTCCAATGAGTCATTCAGAATAATCATTGTTCTCCTTACTTGCAGGGATCGGATTTTTGCTTTGTTGTTGAATCCACCCAGACCGTCTTCAGGTCGTAGATGTACGCGTCATTCCCCTTTTACACACAGAAGAGAGAGAGACAAGGAAGTGTTATAAAATTAGGTCAGCAGAATTGACGAAGTGAAAACTGTCACCGGTGGCCGTCCTGCACACCGTCCGGGGACGGCTCAGGAATTTCCCGGCGGTTCTGATTTCTGAGAACATTGTCTTAGAAACAGAGGCGGCTCTAGAGTTTGCGAGGCCTTAGGCGAAACCTAAACATGAGGCCCCGCTCAGGCCTGTGGGGTCTCACCAGGGTTCTGTGGGGTTTAATCAGGCTGGTGAGACCCCACAGAGCCCTGGTGGGACCCTACAGAGCCCTGGTTAGACTCACCAGGGCTCTATGGGGTCCCACAATGGCTATGTGCGGTTTTACTAGCCTGGTGAGACCCCTCAGGCCCCTGGTGAGACGCCAAAGAGCCCTGGGGAGACCCCACAGAGCCCTGGTGGGACCCTACAGAGCCCTGGTTAGACTCACCAGGGCTCTATGGGGTCCCACAATGGCTATGTGCGGTTTTACTAGCCTGGTGAGACCCCTCAGGCCCCTGGTGAGACGCCAAAGAGCCCTGGGGAGACCCCACAGAGCCCTGGTGGGACCCTACAGAGCCCTGGTTAGACTCACCAGGGCTCTATGGGGTCCCACAATGGCTATGTGCGGTTTTACTAGCCTGGTGAGACCCCTCAGGCCCCTGGTGAGACGCCAAAGAGCCCTGGGGAGACCCCACAGAGCCCTGGTGGGACCCTACAGAGCCCTGGTTAGACTCACCAGGGCTCTATGGGGTCCCACAATGGCTATGTGCGGTTTTACTAGCCTGGTGAGACCCCTCAGGCCCCTGGTGAGACGCCAAAGAGCCCTGGGGAGACCCCACAGAGCCCTGGTGGGACCCTACAGAGCCCAGGGGAGACCCCAGAGTGCTCAGTTGAGACCCCACAGAGCCCTGGTTAGACTCACCAGGGCTCTATGGGGTCCCACAATGTTCTAACTAGCCTTATTAGACCCCACAGACAGCTGGTGAGACCCCACAGAGCCCTGGTAAAACCGGGGCTACCTAGGGTCTCCACAGGACTCTCCAGGGTCACAGTGCTCTCACCATTGCTGTAGCCTGTGAAGGCTGCCTCTCACCAGGACTGTGCAGGGATCGTCTCGCGGGTGGGAGCGTCTCGCGGGTGGGAGCATCTCGTGGGCGGGAGCGTGCAGGACGACCCGTTGCTGACTACGTCTCCGTCCATCTGCCCCTGACGATCCACCCTCACAGCCAGATTCAACTCCGCCCTCCCAGCCAGATTGGGATCCTCGCACGGTGGATGGGAGGGGTGAGATGGCTTCCCAGTGGCTGGTGGGCGGAGCTCCAGAGGACCACTGGCCGAATGGACGGACCGAGGAAACAGATAAGCTCTCAGTTCTGTCGCTGTCAAACGGAGAGTCTCCGTTTGACAGCGACAGGGCTAAGAGCTCATGACGTTACCTGGCTGTGAGGTAATGTGACGGCAGGGCAAATTAGGCGGCCGCGAGGCCCTCGAGGCCCTAATTTGCCTAATTAAAGAGCCGCCTCTGCTTAGAAATCTCTTGAATTTGCACGCAACGTGGCAACTGTACACTAAGTGCTCCCATTAAAGGGGCATTCCCACTTGTAATACCAGTCTACACTCTTCTGTCATTTTTGTTTCTTGTTTTCTGGTGTGTTTTCCCTCCAGTCCGGATCATCTGTTCCCATTGCCCCGCGATATGACTTGGTCAGAGGATTCTACTGTGTACAAAGGAGAAGTATGAGGTGAGTGATTTTCACTCATCCTCATAGTTTGAGCCGACGTGTGACAATGAGACTGTCACAGGTCGGCTCAGTAGATCGGGAAGTGAGGGAACACATACCGGCGTTCGCTCACTTCTTGATCATGTCACTCACAGCTCCCTGCAGGGATTCCCCCCCCTCCCCGTTCCGATCCTCCAGAGGAACGGATGGGGGCGGGTACAGCTGGCTCTGCCTCTAGATAGGCAAAGCCAGCTGTCAATCATGCAGCTGGGTGGATCTCGACAGTAATGTTGGGATCTGTCCGTACTGCGGCGCTCTCAGTATATCGCGAGCTGTAGCTCCCTATATACTGACCTTTGGGTCGCGGGAGGACGCTAGTTTATGTTCTCCTGTTACCCTTAGGAGAACTATGGGGAAAAACACTTACCCCCATAGTTCTCCTTTAACCACTTGCTGACCAAGGTGTTTATACCCCCTTCCTGTCCCGGCCATTTTTCAGTGTTCAGCGCTGCGGTACTTTGACTGACACTGGTATTTAATCCCCACTGGGGGGGGGGTTTATTTTCTACTATATAATGAAAAAAGTATCAAACATTTGGAAAAAAAACCTGTTCTCCCTACGTTATGTTATAAAACATTTATTATCACCCCAATCTTTTGGTAAAATATAAAAGTCGGGGTCACGTCGGGTAAATAGACACCAAACATGTCAAGCTTTAAAATTGCGTGCGCCCGCGAACTCGCAAAAAACTAGCATACCCAAAATTGTCCATAGGCGACACTTTAAAAGCTTTTACCGCTCATCAGTTTAGTGTTATCAGTGATTCATGGCCCTAGAATTATTGCTCTCACTGCGACGTTCGCGGCGATATGTAACATGTGCGGCGCAATGGATGCAATCGTCGTTTCCGCACGTAGGCGCACTCGACGCATGTTTGCATGTGGGGGGCGGGGGACTTTAATTTTTTTTTTTATTATTGCTTTTATATGTGACTTTTAAATTTTGTTTTGTAACTTTAATTTTTTTAAACCTTTTTATTCACTTAACTTTATTGCTATCACATAGGGTGCTAACAATCCCCCTATGTGATAGCCAATTTGTAGTAACAGGTCCTTTTTATGGAGACATCAGGGGTCTCCAAGACCTGTAATGTCACCTAGGGACCCCCAGAGAAGCTGATGAAGCAGAGACCTGCTTCACCAGCTTCTCTCCGGCTTCTGTACCGGAGAGTGACAGAGGAATGCGGAAGTGGTGTAATACACATCACTTCCTGCATTCCGAGGAGGAGATCAAATGGAGATCGTGTACTGAGCTCTGTTTGATCTCCGGTCGCAGAGCTGCTGTGCTGGTCCTGGGATCACACCGGGAACAGCGGAGCTCGGGATCGCCAGCACCGGCTGCAATGGAGAGGGGGGGGGGGGGGGGCGACCCGCAGTTTTTTTGGGGGGGGGCGCACACCAGCACGCATTTTACAATGCGCATTTTACGCCCGAACGCTTGAATGTAAACAGCCATCGCTGGCTGTTTACATACTAAGCTGCTTTCCCACTCGTGAGCGGGGCGGGATGGGACATCTAAAAACGCCCACCCGCGTCCAAGAAGCCGCTGTCCGGCCGTTTAATTACAACGGCCGGACAGCAGGTGGTTCAAGAAGAACTCCAGGATTTTTAAAAGTTAGGCTACTCCTGCACTGCAAGGGTTAAGTGCTCATTTTGGTCTAGAGCAGTGGTGGCGAACCTTGGCACGCCAGTTGTTTTGGAACGACAAGTCCCATGAGGCATTGCAAGGCTCTGACAGCCACAGACATAACTCCCAGAGGCAGATGCATGTTGGGATTTGTAGTTTTGGCACAGCTGGAGTGCCAAGGTTCGCCACCACTGGTCTAGGGGTTGCAAATAAAGAAGATATACTCAGCTGCTTCTCGATCCCACCGGGCTGCTAGACTGGACCCTGTAGCCTCTTCTCACCCGCTCCCTGGTGGTCTAGGATCCCATGACGTCATCACATCCAATACAGTTCCATTAGACGTGTTGACACCGAGAGACATAGCACGTTCCCTAGACCAAAATGATCGGTTAACCGTTATAATGCAGGGGTCGTCCCACTGCAAGAGTCAACCTTTGAAAATCCTGGAGTTCTTCTTTAAGCTGGCCATGCACTGCTCGAATTTGTGGCCAGTCGTCAGGGTTTGGCCTAAATTTGAGCAGCGTGTGGCCCCATTGGCACCCCTCCTTTGTTGGAGAAATCCTAGACAAACAGTATCTGCAGCCTATCAACCGCAGTAACGTGTATTCTGACCACATCACCTCTGCACCCCCACAATAGCCTGGTGGTGGAGGGGTTTCCCCAGCCCCAGGGGGCGGGGGGTCGTCAAATGAAAAAAAAAACTATAAAGGGCTGATTTATAGCTGGATGAACACCATTCGCAGGATATTACTGCCACTAGATGGAGCTGAAGAGCACAGGAATCTCATATGCTCCTCGGCTCCATCTAGTGGCAGGAATGTCCTGCGAATGGCATTCATCTAGCTATTCGCTGGGCGAACGCATTACAGACCAGCTTTAGAGTACAGTGCATTACTGCCATTAGATGGAGTCCACATACGTGTATTCAGTTGTTTGCCTGGAGCTTCATAGCCAGTCTGAGATCAGTTTGTGATTTACATTTATACCTCCATAGAAATCAATGGGGTTTATGTACTAAAGAAGTAGAAGCTGTTCACTTCCTGGGGGAAAGAGGAGTTCCCTTTTAACGTCCCCTGACTGCTGTCACCATGAAACCTTTAAGTTGTTGTGTTTCTGTTAAACATGGAACGCCCCTTTAAGATTTGACGTAGTCGGCATACCTGCAGGAAGGCAAGATGATCATTGAAGAGGAGGACCCGGTCGTATCGGCTGGAGGTCACCGTCACCGGGACATTGCGGCTGTCTTCTTGTAGTCGGCGTTCAGGGTTACAAAGAGCGGCCTGCAAGGTGACATCACACATCTTATCATACAGATCATATAGAAGGTCTCACGTCCCCAGTGTGGGGTGGAGCCATTGTCTCTCCCTCATCAGCTGAATGACACTGGGCCAGATTGTGATTCCCGGCACAAATGTCTACCGGCATCGGTGAATGGTGGTAATGCCTGAGATGGATCTGAGTTTGGTGATCAGTTTGTTGATGATTAGTGGAAGAAGAATAGTTCATTCTCCAGGAAGGAGAAGAAGATAAATACAGAAGAGAAGGGGAAGGTAAGGGAGAGGTAAGGAGCAGCACAGGAAAGAGGGAATGCAAGGGGATACGGAGAAGAGAGGATAAGAACAGAGAAGAGAAGAGGATGAGAACAGAGAAGAGGAGGAGAGCAGTGGAGAGGAGAAAACAGAATGAGAGGAGAGGAGTGGAGGTGAGAGGATAAGAGGAGTGGAGTAGAGAGGAGAGGAAGGGAGAAGAAACACTGAGAACAAAGGAGATGATGGGAGGAGAGGATGGGGGAGAGTAGAGTATAAGAGGAGTGGAGTAGAGAGGAGAAGTAAGGAGAAGAGACACTGAGAACAAAGTAGAGGTGAGGATGGGAGGAGAAGAGTGGAGAGGAGAGGAAAGGAGAGGAAAGGAGAGGAGAGCAAAGGAGAGGAGAAAAGAGGAGAGTAGAGGATGAGAGGAGAGGTTGGGGGAGAGGAAAGGAGAAGAGAGAATGAGAACAAAGGAGAGGAGAGGATGGGAGGAAAGGAGTGGAGAGGAGAGGTGAGAAAAGGAGAGGAGAAGATGAGAGAAGGGGAGGGGATGGGAGGAGAGGAGGGGAGTGCAAAAATGAAAGAAGAGTAAATGCAGGAGAGTAGTGGAGCGGAAGTGGGAGACAGAATAAAGGAAGGGAAGAAAGGAAGTGAAGGGAGAGGGAAAAGACAAGGAAAAGAGTTGCACAGAAAAGGAAGAATGCGATTAGAAGAAGAGAGGAGGGGACGAGAGCAATGGGAAGAGGAAAAGGAGGAAAGTAGTGGAGAGGAACGGGGAGAATAAAGGAGGAGAGGAAGGGAAGGCAGAGGGAAGGGAAGAGGATTATTGAGGCACAGGAAATTAGGAATGTGATAGAATAAGGAAAAGGGAAGGGCGAGAACAAAGGAGAGGAGAGCAGAGTAGTTGGCAGGTGAAAGAGAAAATGTTGGGAGTAGTGGAGAGGAAGTGAGAGGGAGAACATAAGAGAAGAGGAAGGGAAGGGAGAGGGAAAGGACAAGGATAAGAGTGGCACAGAAAGGGAAGAATAGGGATGGGATAAATAAGAAGAAGAGAGGGGAGGATGAGAACAATGGAAAGCAGTGGAGGGGAGAGTAGTAGGAAAATGAAGGAAGAGGAAATGGAGGAGAGTAGTAGAGTGGATGTAATGGGGGAGAATAAAGGAGGAGAGGAGAGGAAGGGAAGCAAGTGGAGCAGTTCATAGACAAGTTGCACACATGATGTCCCACATACCGTTAGTCTTTTGGACAATGAGGCCCACAGGGTCCTCGTCTGGAGAGCCTCATCCAAACACTGACTGATAAAAGACTCGAGGCTCCCAAACACCTCAGGTGTTTTCTTTAGAGGTTCCACTCCGGCATCCTGAAACAAAAGATCATTGAGCATAAATGTGACCTAAAGGACCTCCAACATGAAACGTCCACATTATGTCCCCGCGCCTCTTTCCAGCTTTCATATCCTTATTTATATTTTACCTTCTTTTCCGATAAACATTCACACTTCTTATAGAAGAGACCCAGGGCTGATTCCCCACCACTGATTAGAAATAGTAGAAGGTATTTCTGCAATGCCTCATTCTGCTGTATAGGACTGCGAACTGGACATGTGACCAGGGCCGGATTTCCCACAAAGCCAACCAAGACCTGGCCTTGGGGCAGCAGGGAGTAGAGGGGCAGCAGGGATGTGGTATTCCTATCTCCCTATGCCCGTGACATGCAGTTCCGGGCGCCGGGCGGGTAGTTCTTTTCTACATTTAGCCCTGCTTTGGGTAAGCAGGGATAAATGTACAGCGGGGGAAGCCGCCGCTTGTTTTGTACAAGTGATCCTAGCGATGTCGCTGAGATCACTTGTATGCAGCCTGCAGGTCTGCCATTCTCCATGAGGCCGGTGTGGCAGGGAGGGGGGCGCATTGAGGAACCTAGCCTTGGGGCAGCAAAGAGAGTAAATCCGGCTCTGCATGTGACCCAACAACTTTAAGACCTCGGGGGCGGCCCAGGTGATAAGTAGACCGTTTACCTTCAGAAGATTTCCATTCAGCTTGGACAGCTGGAAGTGGTATTGTTGGATGTGCTGGCGGAACGGCTCGATGAAGACCCTCTGCAGCAGCATGTTGATGGGGGTTTCTGAACTCTCCTTAACCAGCTGCATCAGGGCCTTTGTATTTGTCTTCCAGAGACTGTCAAAGGGAAACAGAAATATACAAAGTTACAGACCGCTCAGAGTCGTCTGGGGAACTACAGGTCCCAGCATGTCACCCTTCTACTTTTTGTCTTACCCTGACAGCCAGGCCCAGTGTGGGGGGGCGGGGGGGATGGGTGATGGGTCTACAAGATACGCCCAAGGTCTTCTGTAGGTATACCAAGCCTGATTTTGCTATACTACTACTAATGGTTTTCACATATATTGCATCTAAATCCAAGCACAAAAACGAAGTACACTGAAACGTACTCGTCCTTAGATGTTGTGGCTGCATTCGCTTTATTTTTGAGGCTAAGAACATTTTCTGCAAGTACAGAAAATACTCCTGATCCTGCCGGAAATGCAGGGTGCTTGTAACTTCCTGTGAGCTGAACCGAAATCTTAAACAGATTTAGGTTTAAGCTTTGGTTAGCAGTGATATAGTGCTAGGTTAAGGGGTACCATTAGGGTTAGCATTGATATAGTGCTAGGTTAAGAGGTACCAGTTGGGTTGGCATTGGTATAATGCTAGGTTAAGGGCTACCAGTTGGGTTAGCATTGATATAGTGCTAGGTTAAGAGGTACCAGTTGGGTTAGCATTAATATAGTGCTAGGTTAAGGGGTACCAGTTGGGTTAGCATTGATACAGTGCTAGGTTAAGAGGTACCAGTTGGGTTAGCATTGGTATAGTGCTAGGTTAAGGGGTACCATTAGGGTTAGCATTGATATAGTGCTAGGTTAGGGAGGTACCAGTTGGGTTAGCATTGGTATAGTGCTAGGTTAAGAGGTACCAGTTGGGTTAGCATTGGTATAGTGCTAGGTTAAGAGGTACCAGTTGGGTTAGCATTGATATAGTGCTAGGTTAAGGGGTACCAGTTGGGTTAGCATTGGTATAGTGCTAGGTTAAGAGGTACCAGTTGGGTTAGCATTGAAATAGTGCTAGGTTAAGGGGTATCAGTTGGGTTAGCATTGATACAGTGCTAGGTTAAGAGGTACCAGTTGGGTTAGCATTGGTATAGTGCTAGGTTAAGGGGTACCATTAGGGTTAGCATTGATATAGTGCTAGGTTAGGGAGGTACCAGTTGGGTTAGCATTGGTATAGTGCTAGGTTAAGAGGTACCAGTTGGGTTAGCATTGATATAGTGCTAGATTAAGGGGTATCAGTTGGGTTACTGTTACAGTTGTTGTTGCTGTTTTTTGTTAGGAAAACAAGCCCACAATGGGTGAATTTAGCCTCTGTAACCCTCAGAAGACATTTAAAGCCCAACTGCACACTTAACATTTCCAAAAACTACCTTGATTTTGCCTTCTTCATTGGCTCCAATGCATTTGGGGAAATGGGTAAGCCAAAGCTCCCAATGTAGTTCTTCTCTAGATGAAGGCTAGCCTACACTCCATTTTTCAGGATAAATTTTTTTTGGGTGGGGCACAATTAAATATTTCCTAGGTGGCATAGTCCCCCTTTAGGACCACGTTTCATGTTACCCCTATATTTAGGTTATCCCTATATTTAGGGTGTAACATAAATCATGTTGTAGAGAAAAACTTGTCGCACTCCTTACCGGAAATCCCAATGATAGGGATGGGTGCTGAAATGACTGCAGATGACGCCGCTATCACATAAGTTTGGTAGAGAGGAATGTCACCAGCACAACAAAATCCTTTTAGGATAATCAATTGTTAATTTTATTGAACAGATTGTCAGTTGGAAAACAAGCGCTTTTGGGACCTCGCAGGGTCCCTTCATCATCGTCAATGCTAAAGCCTGATG